CCCTGAGCAGATGTCTGTTTGATGGAGCCATTTCACAACTTCTGTGAGATTACTGGGATCTCCTTCATTACAGAATATTAAAGGAAAATTTAACTTTAATATTTCTTATGAATGTGTGTATATAGATAGATAGATAGATAGATAGATAGATGGATTTGAGACATACCTCACAAGCGTAGCCTGTTATCCAATTGGAAGGGCCTCTTGTAGGGTTTCTGCACTGTAATATACATGTATCTTGGTTAATTTCAAATTGGTCAGAAGGGGGTGCAAATGTAATGGTGTGCTGGAGGAAATGTCCAGTACCTTTCAGAGAAAACCATCTGGAGTCCACCATCTCCGTATGATTGGAATGTCACACTGGAAGACACAAACATAGAGAAATCTTTAAATATCAACTGCTACAACATCATAAAGGTCAATTACTTTAACTGATAACTACTTACAGATGTAAAATCAAAGGGTGCTCCCAAGACAAGATGTACTGGAAAACAACAAAAAATAAGAATATTCTCCCTGTAAATGGCACAAAAAAACCTTCCTTGTTCCTTATTTAACAACTAAATAATCACACCAATAACTGGTTGCAAAAATGTATAGTATAGCCTAAAATAAATAAGTACACAGGTAAACTATTATGCAATAATAAATTGTGAGTACATTAAACAAACAACTCAAGATATTCATACCTCCACAGACAACTGCATGTTGAAGTGGATTTGAAGATGACTTATTAATTTGACCAGTTTGGCTGGCTTAAACATGCTGGTCAAGCAGAAAATTGCTGGTAATTGCTGTAACACTTGTTGCACTGCTGCAGCTCAGGTAATGTGTCAACTCTCTGAATCCTTATATGTCTCTACAAGAGATGAAGCCACACACAATTATCTCAATGATGACAAATGGGATTAAAATAACTAAACTACAAGGTAATATTAACACACAAACAATGCATATAACAGAGGGAATTAAAGCAAACTATTTATTTTTATGAATAATAAACGTCTTTCAAAACTTCACCACAAGGCCCATTTACAGCATGCATCCGAAAATTAATCGAAACATCCACAGAAAAAAAGTTATATACTATAAAGTATGACAACAAATTCAAGTTTCAATATAATATAATAAAGCCAAGCACACATTAAGTACTTAGCAGATAAATGCTTAACGTAATGTATACGATAATTATTAAACGTATGATAGCAAAAACAGACTACTCACCATGCTCTCTCGTTGTCAATAACTCCGCCCCTCACTTCCGGTGAGTAGTACTCGTACTCCTGTGTAGCCTCGCGGTACTCCTGTGAAAACCCGCCCTAAACACGCCTTCACTGGACTACGTCACACAATACAAAGTTCCACCAGCGAGAGGGAGAAGAATGAAATAAATCGCTAAACAAATATATCAGAAGCTGTCGTTTAGTCTTTATTTACAAACTAAGACACCACACGCGGCTATTGACTGACCATGAACAGGAAATAGAACTTACTCGCGGCATTTTTGAGTCGTTAATGTCTCGCGGTCTTGCTGTTTTGGGTTAAAAGTGTGTTGTAACGCATGCGTTACTGAACATGTACCGAGTAAAATATTACTGAAAATTGATTAGTAATGCCTTACACTACTGCGTTACAGCGAAGAGTAATCAGTTACTGTAATGCATTACTTGTGTAACGCATTACTCCCAACACCGTGTATTGCCCACATATTTTTATAGATTAAATAATTCATTTCAAATGTATTGTAATTATGTTAACATTCCCTTTATATGATATATTAACTACATGTTTATGGTGTCTTTAAAAAGTACAATCAAGTACACTATTACTGTCATTATTAGCACTTTTTTCCGCATTAGCACTTCAAGTACTTTATGCTAAAAGTATACTTACCAGGGCTCCAGATTGCGACTAAAACGGTCGCATTTGCACCCAAAAATATTAATTTGTTAGTGAAGTTTTTGCTGAGGTCGCCACCAAAAAATGCTGGGTTAAATACAACCAGCACTGGGTAAAATATGGACAAACCCAGCGATTGGGTTGTTTTTGACCCAGCGGTTGGGTTACTGCCCAGAAGGTTGGGTTAAACATTTAACCCAACTGTTGGTTGAAAACAACCCAATCGCTGAGTTTGTCCATATTTAACCCAGCATTTTTAGAGTGTATATTTACATGTTATGACTTACATTTTTTTTCCTGATTGTTTTGCGATCATATCTTTTGTTATGTTCACGTATTAAACTGAGACGATGCGCATCAAAGTTTTAGTGGAAAAAAAGTTTCAAACAGTCCTCATCTCTGCCGAAATGCCTGCTAAACGCAGCTCAGTTGTGCAGCACGACAGAGATCAAAATGACGGAGACGTGCAAAGTGAAAGTGCAGAAAAGCAGTGTCTATTTCGTGCACAACTTCAAAAAAAACTTCAACAGGTAAAGCTGTCAGCTGTGTGGATATTGGCAATATCGTTAACAATTCTCGTTTATAATCATTACTAATATGGCTTCTTGTTATCAAGATCTTAGTCTATATGCTGTGATGCGCATCAAAGTTTTAGTGGAAAAAAAGTTTCAAACAGTCCTCATCTCTGCCGAAATGCCTGCTAAACGCAGCTCAGTTGTGCAGCACGACAGAGATCAAAATGACGGAGACGTGCAAAGTGAAAGTGCAGAAAAGCAGTGTCTATTTCGTGCACAACTTCAAAAAAAACTTCAACAGGTAAAGCTGTCAGCTGTGTGGATATTGGCAATATCGTTAACAATTCTCGTTTATAATCATTACTAATATGGCTTCTTGTTATCAAGATCTTAGTCTATATGCTGTGTTCTGTTAATGCGTGAACTTCATATTAGCCTGATTGCAGCGCACTTGCCATCAAGTAATCGCAATAAGCTTTGTTACTTTTTAATAAACAAAGTATCAGCTTTAACATTCTGCCAAATTCATAACGAAATTCATACAATAAATACGGTTTTGGCGCTCTTTAATGTGGCAGGCGCAATCGCTTTAGCGCCTCAGTTCAAGGTGCAAGTGAACCTATATCTTTCTCTACTATAGTACGAAATGAACGTGAATTAACATCAAAAGTTAGGCTATTTTATAAGAGAGCCTACAGTACAACTTATTGAAATGTCTCATGTAATCGCTCATTCTGTGTCAAACTGCAGAAAATGTGAAAAGCTTGTAAACAATGCCACGTAACAATACATTTACCTCAGAATAACCATTGGGCATCCATAAGCAGTCATCTAGAAAAATAACTATAAAGAGGAGCATTTTTCTATATTTATTCACTATTGCATACTAATATTTTTACTTCACCTGTTGTCTACATGAAAAAAAATGCAAGAATGCAAGCTAAAAATAAAATTCAACATGTCCTATAAAATTGCATGATACTAATAAAGAAAAACAGACTGGATGTGTGAGAGATATGACAACATTTCTATAGGATGCATTGAGGAGGAGCCCAAACTAACACTGTAAAAAGTGATCAGTTGACTTTTCTTTAAAAAATTGAGGAAACCCGTTGCCTTAAAATTAAGTAAATAAACTAAGGCATAATTAAAGAAATACATTAAGTGAACTTGACAATTCTGAGTTACACTGACAAATAACAGTTTGAAAATGTGTTCACTTTTTATTTTAAGTTGGACTAACTTAAATTTATTAAATTCCAATTACTTAAAAACACTCAATGGCCAAGTGATGCTTATGGTCCATGATATTGGTACAGATTCTGTGTAATAAACAATTCTTTGTGACTGTACATTTCAAGTTGGAAAAGACGTTTAGTTCCCAGGTCATCTACAAGATGGATTCAAATGCTGATAAAGTCAAGAAAAGATTAGACATAAACACATGACAGTATGATTGAAATGTCAAAATGTAAAAAAAAAAAAAATAATAAAATGTTTATTCTGTGGCACCTAAAAATAATTTGGCACCTAAGTTTTTTCTTAAAGGAGCCGATGGCTCATTACTCGATTTTTTTGTCTGGAGCCCTGCTTACTGTTAAATTGTGGATTTTAGTACACATCTAAACATATATGAATGAATAATCCAATCATGTGCTATTAGTTCATTTATAGTAGCCTAAGCGGAGTAACCTATAGGGTTTTACTTTAGTAATACATTTCTACTGTTTTTCATGAAAATCCAAATAAAGCTTAGTCATAGTATATATAAAAATCCACAAAAATTTTATGTAAAGCGATTGTAGGACTTTTCAGCAATGCAATTATAAAACACTTCTGGTACTTTATCTAACTAAATGTAAACCTAAGTGTTAGTGCTATTTAATGTATTTATATATTATAAGTGTACTTTAGTAGCAGAGTTGGGAAAATGTACTTATAACTATTACATCACTAATATATTTTAAAGGGGTCATATGATGCTTTTTTAAAGATCATTATTTTTTTGTATTTGGTGTAACAGAATATGTTGACATGCTTTAATGTTCAAAAAACATTATTTTTCAAATACTGTACATTATTGTAACATTTGGGCCACATTATGCAAATATTTTCACATAGTGAGGTAGATATGTGGGGGTGTGTTAGAACGAGCCGTTTTAGGGGGGTGTGGCAGAGTCTTAACTTCGATAAAGAATATCTCTTTGGTTTTGAGACTTTAGTCTTTGCAACTTCAGGGATCTTATCTATGCACAACCAGCTTGTAACACTCCAAAGAGAAAGGAAAACTTGAAATCGCATCATATGACCCCTTTAAATAAAATCTATTTAATTTAAACTTACGATAGCTATATAAAAGTGTACTAACATTGAAATATTTTTTTAAATCATTCAAAGCACACTTTAAAAAAAATATACTAATAAAAGTCCTCTATATTTTTGTGGCAGCATACTTTATTTTAATGCACTAAAAATCCATTTAAATATCAGTGGTATTTAGTATATTATTGCAATTGCACTGAAGTACTACTGAAGTAGAAATATACTTTTAATTGGTGCGTTTATAGTGTATAATTTTTACAATTTTAATTTAGCACAAAAAATAAGAATGTACAACAAATGTATTTGTTTGTATTTCTAAGTATTTTTTAGTGCATTCAAGTACACTTTTTCACCTGGGTAAAAAAGGTCTTCAACTTGGACTCTTTATCTTGATCCTGGGTGTTTAAGAATTTTCATTTTAAATAACTGTTAGGCTTGCTGCGATAGACGGTGTTAGCGGTCATACCCGTGTGAAGCCGCAACACCAGTTACGTCACTTGCCCACCGCCCGCCACCGTCGTTTTGATTTTTTTTTTATAGTAATAAAAATCATTTAGTTCAGTTAGCAGACAGTAAAATTAAAAACTGAACGCGGCTGCACAATGCAGCATGCCAAACGACAGTCTCATCACAGATCAGGTTTCATTTATCACGTGAGGAGAGTGAGTCGAGCTGACTGATAAGATGATGATAGCGGATGATTTAGTTTAGAAACTAAATGCAAAAGCGCCTGTTTGGCAATAATTTGGGTTTTGAAAATCCTGTTGACTTTTGCCGTTTATCTAAGGTGATTTTGTAAGTTTTATTTAATTGGTTCCACGGTGTCTGCTTTTTCAGTTTTGTATACCTATTTAAACTTTGTGTTATTTGTTATTTTATATTAGGCATAGCCTATAGCATTGTGTATTTTTATTCGTTTTGTTAATAAAAGTTCTATGATTTATATATAGGCTAAGTAAGTTTGACGTTGTATTTTGTTGTTGATGCCGAAATTCCGCTAATTCGAAAGTGAAAGTAAAATGCACACAGCGCTTTTAAGCTATTTAAGCGAGGAAAAGAAGACAAACTCAAACGAACTAAAAACGAACAATTGAAAACGAAAACTTTACGCCGAATTGCCGCTAATTTAAAAGTGAAAGTACAATGCGCGCTAGGGGTGCTCCGATTGATCGGCTACCGATCACTATCGGCCGATAATCGCTTTGGGATGTTTGATCGGCGGTCTCTATAAAAGCCGATCTCAAGCTGATGAAGCGCCTGCCATCAGAGGTTTGGCACGACATGCAGCGGCACCGTCGGTCTCTGTCCGGCGCGGGTAAACCAATTATAATGCTTTTAGGTGAGGTACAATTCATATTTCTTCATTAAATAACTTATAAAGTAATTTGAAAACTTTCTGTGAGACATGATTCCACAAACAGCGTGACTGAATCACCGCGTGCGCTCTCTCTCTTTCTCTCTCAAAATGCGCAAATGGCTTCAAATCAAATCGCGTCTGCACTATAAGCCAGCTGCACAGTTGACACAGGAATTGTCACTTGCACAATCGAGGCGGTGTCGCATCGTCACTAAAGTTTATAAATTACATTTCTTTTTAATTCTTGCCAGTGTTTAAACCATTCTGCGCTCGGTCGCTCTCCTGGAGACCGTGCGCTCATGCACACTGAAAGCGCACACACATAACGCCAGGTTCACATTACTCCGTTTTCAGTGCATATGTGGTGCGTATTTTTTCCGCTCTTATCTTAACAGATTAAAGCGTTCACACTACTCATGGTTGCGGTCCGGCAGTGCGTCTGCAGCAGTGCAGAGATCGTTTCCGCACCGAGTTTTGCTGCACTGCAAGCGCTGAATTAAAGTAACAGCGGTAACATTGTTTGCGGTAAATATGAACATGGATTGACACGAAAATGTAGTTATTACACCATAAATGCATATAATTAAAGTCTGATGTGTCACAGTCAACACATAGGCTATGGCTTTTTGGCTAGGTTTAAAGGAAAAGAGCACTTTTAGATAAACAAGGCAATAATATATGGCACTCGTGGAGGTAGGAAAACAAAGTTCTTTATGAACCACAGGATTAATTGTAATAAAGATTTAAATGCTAAAGAAAAGGCAGTAGTGCTGACTGTTGCTGTCTATGGTAAGTTTTAATTTAGAATGGTTAAATCTACAAAGTAGTTTAAATGTTTTGCCACTTGTTTGAGCTATATATAAAATTCTAGTAGTAAATACAAAAGTAAAAAGCATTGAATAATGTGTTTCTTATATTTATTGCGTTTAAACACGTCTATTAAAAGATTGTATTACTGTACTGTGTAAAAAAAAAATCACAATGCTGAAAAAGCATTTTAAGTAACAATGTTTGGATTTGGATTGGGTGCTTCTGCACCACTTTCGTACCACACATGGACTGCATACGCACTGCAAACTGAGTATGTGTGAACCTGGTGTAAAAGGCCATGTGACACAGTTTGTAGATCGGGAAGGAGGAGGCGGGAACCGGTGAACATTTAAACAAAACTTTAATAATAAAATTAACACAAAATAGCGCGACAGCCCCTCGCGGACGACTGTCGTGCACAAACAGAACCAAAACACAAAATAAAGTCCAGGCCTGGTCCTCTCTCGTCCAACACTGTCGTCACTCCTCCTTTTATCCTTCCGGAGCTCCTCCGTGGGACTTGAGACCGGTGAGTGGCGCAGGTTTCGCGAATTAGCATTTACTCCACTGGCCTCGCTCCGTTCCCACAGCTCTCGGCCCCGCCCCTCTCGTCACAGGCCGCCTCACATACAGCTCACAAAATCAGACTTGTGCTGTGTGTAAACTATTGTGCAAGAATTGCATGATTGTCAAAACAAAAATGCAGTGCATGATCAAACATTTAATGAGATAAATATATATTTTTGAAAAATGTCTAAAAAATGCCCCCCTCCACCCCTCAAATTAAAAAATCCCCTCTCACAAGAGTCACCTAAGAGGGGAATTCATTTTCAAAAATGAAATTCAGGCCCTGAACAAATTTCTAAAAATCTTGATTGGATCGTCACTATAAATAATGCTACATGATTAAAAGAAGGCTTTAAAAAGATTGGTATCGGTGATCGGCCTCAAAAATCCTGATCGAAGCACCCCTAATGCGCACGCCGCGTTTACAAGCTATTTAAAAGCAAAGGAAAGCCAGAAAAAGTGGGAAACCCCCCACCCCACGGTGATACCGGTATTATCGGTTGTTGTCGCACGTCGATTAACCGGTGGGAAAATTTCCTCACCGTCACAACCCTAATTAACTATCTGATTGTTGTGATTTATCAGTTCTTCTTTTGCATGCTGAGTGAGTGCAACAGTGCACTAAATATATAAAAGAATGAAAATACAAAATAAGACACATTTGTAAAAACAGATGCTGTGTAAAAACAGCATAGTGATAACTGAAAGTGATACAATATCTAGTCAAAGATCTGAGTGCCTGTACATTGTTAGTTGCTACTTTAAACATTTCTCTGTTTTTAATTTAAAAAATACTTTTTTAAACAATTTTATCATTTTCATTTGAACCTTTAATCTACACCTCCTCTTCTTTTTTCAGTATTAAAGGTGTTATTGGTTAATTAAAATATGGTAGATTTGGTGGGGATAAAGCTTTCTTTTATTTTATTCATGACAGATAGATTAACTTCATTTATTTATTATGTTTTAGGCTCCATTCCAGAATTCATCTCAACCAGCATCACGGCATGCTTTCCTCCCTCACACTGGACAGAGATTCTTTCACCATGGAAAACCTCATTAACTTCTAAATGTATAATCTTGACAAGGTACCAGGCTACAGAAAACTCTTTTCTGAGGCTCACCTTAAGAGAGCTGAAAGCCACTTCTTTTGAATTTGTTTTTTTAACATTGTAATAAATGACCCATGCAGCAAATATTGATGGTTTATAAACATTGTTGATAATAAATAATAAGGAATTGTCTTACACTTGATGAATCTAAGAAAAGATGTCATGGTTTTCTGATGGTTAATAAAAAAAAAACAGGTGCTACTTTGTCAGAGGGTTGACGTATAAAACACAAACTCAAGAGCCAAAGGTTGAACAACAAATCACTGTCTGTGTATTTTAACTTAAAGTTTAAAGTGTTAATAATGCAAATAAGATCCTCCCACATTACATAAATACTTTACCAAACAACAGTTAGTTTGTCTTTTAATGCCTTTTTCTTGGAGTTTGCCAACAGCAGCCAATATGGTCAATATATTACAACACCAGAATGCATCACAAACAGAAATAAAGACATGATTTATATGTGCTCTTTTTAATATTGGGTTGTCTTGTTAGAAACCAAATTTGTATTTATTTTTGTCTTAATCACAGTATTGGAACAAACAAAAACTTAACTTACTGTAGTCAAGTCAAGGGTAATGTGCATGACTGTCAAATCAGGCCTGCATAGGATACAACTGATTTTAAAGGGGAGAAGTACCATTTTTTCAAAATTTCATCAAACCCTCAAACTTAAAAGACAGGAATTGGGGTACTTGATTGTTTGTCCTTCAAACATGAACAGCAAGCATTAAGCAAAGCACTACAGGTCGAGACTGAGTACATTATAGGCAGAAGTATGTGTCTGTTTATTTCAACTAAAGATAAGGCTAATGAAACCTCCTTCCACTTCAGAACATACTCAAACAGCCAAAACTTGGGAAATTTTGATAAAATGGTGATGCTGGCTTTCCCTGTGTTATCAGTCTTATCAGGGGAGAGGGAGTGTGGGGAGAGAGGGGGAGGAGCAAAAAGTGATCCAAAGTCTTACTGCATCATCCATCTATATACACCAAGTTGTGTGATATTGTCACCCCCTGCCAAGGGTCTTTTGCTTTAAGCTACTGGAAGATAAAAGGGAAGTTAAGCAGAGCACTTGGTCCTGTAGTGAAGACACAAAACTGCATCCTATTACTCATGTCATTGCCTTTGTATCTGTCCTTTACAGGAGATTCTGCACTTGAGTTTTTTTACCCTCCCTTTGCACTATAATTGCTCATAAATAAAATTAACCACATAACAGACCTCTTATAGCTATTTACCATTGTGATTTAAGTTAGCAAAGAACATATGAGGGGTAGTTATCTTAAAATTAAAACAGACACACTCATGCTAGTAAAGACAGTTATGATGTCCCATCCCCTCCCTGACCCAAAAATAAATAAATAAATACAAATGAAACCTTTTCCCACCCCAGCCGTCCATCACTATGGTACTTCTGTCCACTCATAACGTCCATTTCTGTTATTTATTTCTTACGTACCTTTTGTTTCTGAAAAATGTTATTTCGTTTGGAACATTTTGATTACATTTTCTAGTTTTTAACTCACACATGGGCTATTACAGCCGTCCATCACTATGGTACTTCTGTCCACTCATAACGTCCATTTCTGTTATTTATTTCTTACGTACCTTTTGTTTCTGAAAAATGTTATTTTGTTTGGAACATTTTGATTACATTTTCTAGTTTTTAACTCACACATGGGCTATTAAAAAAAAAGAAAGAAAGCGAGAGAGAGAAATAAAGAATGAGAAAGAAAAAAGGAGGGAGAATAGCATTGCTGAGGTCTAATTCTCTCATATCCAGGTCCAATGCATCTTGTCAACCCCTGAAAGGAAGAAAGAAGTACAGGCAGGAGTGAGTGAAGAAGGGGTGATGAAAGTAACATAAGCAAGGAAGTAGAAATAAAAAAAGATGAAGCTAAAGTTAAGTCCATATCCACAACACACAAATAGTAGGAGGAAGCTTGAAAAAAATCTTCAATCAAAAATATATGACTGTCCAAAACAAAGGTTCTATATAAATGTAGACAGGCGGTCTACAGAAATAATTGGGTTCTCCATTACTAAACAGAGTCTGAAATAATTGCTTGGATATCTGCCATTCATTTTGAAGCCCAAAGTCAAAGTGCACAATAAGCTACTACGCAATCACTTAATGACTCTCCCATGAACTCAGAGGAACATCAGATATGGGTAATTTTAACCCATATCATAATTATTTATAGTGCTTCTTAAAAAGTTATTTTACAATACAGCGTGTTTAGCTGGTAGAGTAAAATACAAAATGAAATCCGAAAATTCTATTTACATCTTAGTCACTGCTTTTACATACCAGATACATCAAACACTGCAGCAGTCCTACATCTGTGTTACACAAAAGTACCTGTGTGCAAACAGCAAAGTATTCTATGTAAAGTGGGCTTCCATTATAAAACCTTGTTTAAAACCCTTTTATATACATTATTAAACATCCTGGACTGATTATTGATTGCATCTAGACAAAGATGACAATCATAATAATATAATAATAATATTATTACAAGGTTTGTTTCATTGTGTAAAGTAAAAGTAAACATTTGAATAAGTGCTTTGCTGCAAGCACACTGGTGAGGCACAGTCGCTCTGGGCCTAGTTAGCAGGTGAGTATTTGCACACAGCTGTAAGAGCTCCATATACCTGCTGTGTTTTATTTAGCCATGGCTTTGATAGCTACTGCAGCCTCCTCATTCATAGCAGACAGGACAGTGATCTGCAAAGAAACATGAAGAGGTTACACTATTAACGTTTGCTCAGTGACATTTGAAAGGTGGCTGATTTAATGGCACTTACCAGGATTTCCTCACCGGCATCAAACTTGCTTTCTATCTCTTTGCCCAGGTCTCCTTCTGGCATTTTTAGGTCTTCTCTGACCTCACCACTGTCCTGGAGCAGAGACAGGTAGCCATCCTGTATGCCAATAAGCTAAAGAGTGAAAAAAAAAAGAAATTTGTGAAACACTGTATGATTTACTTACAGTACATCTGTGTCTAATATTCCCAATAACATACCTGGTAGTCCAGCTGTAAGAGCTCCATATACCTGCTGTGTTTTATTTAGCCATGGCTTTGATAGCTACTGCAGCCTCCTCATTCATAGCAGACAGGACAGTGATCTGCAAAGAAACATGAAGAGGTTACACTATTAACGTTTGCTCAGTGACATTTGAAAGGTGGCTGATTTAATGGCACTTACCAGGATTTCCTCACCGGCATCAAACTTGCTTTCTATCTCTTTGCCCAGGTCTCCTTCTGGCATTTTTAGGTCTTCTCTGACCTCACCACTGTCCTGGAGCAGAGACAGGTAGCCATCCTGTATGCCAATAAGCTAAAGAGTGAAAAAAAAAAAGAAATTTGTGAAACACTGTATGATTTACTTACAGTACATCTGTGTCTAATATTCCCAATAACATACCTGGTAGTCCATTCTTTTGATATTAGGGACATCCATATTGTGGGTTGAGGGACAGATATCCTCATACTTTTTGCCAGAGAAGATGTCAATGCCCACCATGTGAACCTTTAAACAAAATAAAGGGAAGCATGGGGTTTACTTTGCTGCCATTCAAAATCAGCTCACTTCATTTCATCCGCATCATCCCTCACACTGTGTGAATGAATGGCCCCCCTTTCACATGCCCATGCACCTAATTTATAAAACCTTGTATAGAGAGAATTCTGTAACTCCTTTATTTTGCAAAACAAACATTCATCCATACATAATCCATGTACTTCGACAGTTAACATCAATACTATGACTGCTAAATAAAATGTGTTTTGCTCTGATGTACTCATCTAACAGATTTATGCATCTATTAAAATCAGTGTTACTGAATTTGAGGTAAATGAAAATGATGCGCACTAGTCTAGCTAAGTTGTCAACTGCTATATTTTTCTACTTTGTCACAGACCATCACTCACCTTGGCATGTCCATGTTTGCCGGTCTTAGATGTGGACATTTCCACAATCTTGCATGGTCGACCTTTTAGCACCACAAAACCATTTTTGCGCAGGGCAGAGCATTGCATGGGGTAGGTAGCAGAGGCACCAGCATCGCCTGTTGTGAAGTCCAGGTCAGCATCCGCCATGTTTTAATCTAAGGATTGATGAGCCACAAGTACAGTGGTTAACAATATTGCCATTCATTAAATAAACAAACAGACCAGTATAAACCATTCATCAAAATGTAACAACTTTTTCATTACCTGAAACACATTTCCTTTCTCATCCTTCAAGAAATTAAAATCACGTGCAATTTTAATCATTAAAACCCAGCGCTGCCATTCATTAATTGTAGTCTCATGCCTCCCTGGTTTTGCAGAAGCTATATAAGGCAACAAGAGCATGGCATCTGTGAACTGAACTTCTGACATGCTTAGCTGTTGTAAATGTGTAATTACCACTAAATAATAATTGTCAACAATTACATAATCGTAATTAAACGGCTAGAGAACACAACATTTGAGTAGCTTTACATTATTCAATGTACTGTGCGCAATTGTGGTCTGCAAGTATTCACGTGGGAAGGGCCCACGTGAGATATGATCACGCACATATCGATACTTGAAGAAATTTCAATCCACACTGAAAATGCCAAAACATCCGAATTCCACTTTTGAAATCGATAACATCATATGAATAATCACTGCGCATCTTAGGGTCTATAGTGAGTTGCACATGTAGCTGAGATAATCCACACAACTCGCCGCTATCGCACAGTTCAATAATGACACATTTTACAGGAAATAAGAACCATGTATGTTTGAACAATGAGAGTCTGAGCCGCTTTCATATGGACACGCGTGTCCTCCAGCCGCAGTGAGCTGGCTGCTATCTGTGAGGCCTGCTGGATCCGCCACTGCGCACTGATCAGAAACCGAAGGCCTGCCGAGCAGCGCGCTAATCGCAGGCAAGCAGGTGCAAGTATGTTACCGTTGAACTGCACATGACAGCGCATGAACCAGACCCACAATCTAACTATAATGCAGAACAAACCCCTGTGCGGTTAAAACGAGGTTTCCTATGTTGAAAGGCTGAGCTAATCCACGATGCGAGGCGCAGCGTGGACTCGTGCCGTCTTGAGTTATGATCAAGTTTTTTTATCTTGTCTTCTTGCCGCGTAGCAACTTTGACGCGCATTTAAATTGTTTTTAGTTTTTGCACCAAGCGCCCAAAGATTTTGTCGTCATTCTAAATTACTCGCGGAAACGAATAAGTGCAAATGTCCTGCGGATACATGCATCGCAATTTACAACAGATGCTGCATCTTAGTCTTACTGTTTGCTTTGTTAAGATGACAAAAAGCGTGAAATAGATAAAGGGCAATCTCGAGGGAGGAGGTTGTTGCTACGCGGGATGACACCCGCTGTTTGAATGGTTTAAGGAGCTATTTACCTGGTTTACAGCCTTGTCCACGCTCTCGGGGCAACCCAACTAGTTAGTCCGACTGGATATCCCTTTTCCTCTCTTCTCTTCTCGGATCTGTCTGCCTCTCTTGCTATCAGCCGCGCAATGCCGCTTGTGTTTATTCACTCAATTCACTTGACTCTGCTGTCATTACAGACGTTTCGTGTTCTCCTCTTGCAGTTTAAGCAACACGTTCAGTTGGCTGACCCAAAGCGTGAATCCTAAACTCCCTTTTCCTTACTCTCTGTCCCTCGCTCTCTCACTCTGGATCGGTACGAAGTCGACCACACATAGCATGAAATGAACCTCAGCCGTTTCCTCCTAACCGCGCATGCGCATTCACCCTAGCTCTTTAATTTCTAGGACGGGTGGGAGCGCCTGTCTCTCTGTGAGTGTTATTAGGGGTTCAAGCAGTGTTGCCAATTTAGCGATTTTGTTGCTAGATTTAGCAACTTTTCATACTACCCTAGCAACTTTTTCTTCCAAAAGCACCTAGCAACAAATTTAGCTATTTTTAAAATTTATTTGGCAACTTTTAGCAACTTTTGATAAGTGACTTAAACAATAAAAGGGACAGAGTTTTTCATCTAAATTACACAAAAAGAGTAACCAAAGATGACTAGCAGTACACATATCACATGAATTAAGTTAGCTGCTATTTGCAGTTGTTCAATTTAATAATAATAATAATAATAATAACAACAACAACTGAATAATTGAATAATTGTTCATTTATGACACCTTGTTAGTAGCTTGTACCTGTGATTGTTGGTACACTGTAAAAAAAAAAATATCTAGAAAAATGGAAAAGTTAGTAATTTTCCAGGACATTATGCATTATCCGTTGTAAGTGTAACCTGAAAACACTAAATACAATGCATAATTTAAATAGCAGAGAAAACACCTGTAAATAATCAATTTGGAAAATTCCTCTACATTAACATAGTAGATTGTGCCCTATTTTTTTTTTTACAGACTTTTAGATTGTAGCATACTAAGTAACTACCAATACACTGCTTAAAACTGTAATTGTTCAGAATGTATAGTTTTACTAGTTTACAAGCTAATAATAATAATAATAATAATAATAATAATAAAAAACTTAAATTGTAATCGTACAAAAATGTGTAGGGTAAGTACTCAATTAAATGTTTATTTATTTATTTATATTTTAATATTATATTATGCATGTATATTATTTTATAAACAAATATAAATTAACATATATAAAATATTTTTTTGCTGAGATTCGATGTAGTGACAATTTTGCGTCATGATTACATAATGACGTCATCGCGCAATGACATCACAACGCCATTTAGCAACAAATCAACCTTCCTTTAGCAAGTTCCCCTGAAAATTAGTTGGCAACACTGGGTTCAAGCGCGTAGCGCTGAAACCCTATTGTAATTGATAGAATGGTCACGGATCAGCGATCTCCACCCAAAACTGCAGACCAAACCGTAGACGTAGAGACTTGAAACTTGAAGGGATGGTAGTACTCACTCACACCGCCTAACATCACCAAGGCTCGCCCCAATCGGCCTGACGGGGGCGCTACAGCGATCAAAAGTACGAAATCGCTCATAACTCCTAAACTGTCAGTCGCAGGCTCAAGTGTCTTAAAGGGGTCCTATTATGCTTTTTCACTTTTTTAATAAATTATGTGAAAAATAATGCGTTTTTCGAACCACCAAGCATGAGAGCATGTTCTAGTACACCCCCAAAACAAAATCAAGACTTTGTAAAAGAGCATAATAGCACCTTTAACACTTGAACGGAATGAGATATCTTCGCCAAACTCAGAACACTTGTGTAAGAGCTCAATCTGAGAGGTCACAGGAAAAAAAAAACAGTGGAGCTTGGCCACTTGGTGGCGCTACGAGAGGAAAAAACATAAAAATTGCTATAACTGCGCAACCATTTGTCCTATCAACATGAAAATCAGTGTGCACGGTCTTGGTCCAGAGTGCCACAAGCGTCCACAAGGACATTTGCGTATCTAAAAAAACATGGCCGACGAAGTTTGAGCACCTGTTAGACCCCTGATAACACACATACATCACGGAGACATATATTTGACATCTGCATTTACATCTGCAAGACATTTTTTAGAGTGTTTGCTCATCTGCAATACATCTATAGGACGTCTCCTATCAGATGTCAAATAGACGTCTATTATGGCGCTTTCCGTACCGTGCCGTACCATGCAGTGGAAAAGCGCCATTAGATGTCTCTAATGGTGCTTTTCCACTGCATGGTACGGCACGGTACGGTTGATTGGCCGGAGAGAATCGTCACTACCTGCGTCACTGAACTTGCGACACAAACACAACAGAACCGCTAGATTTAAATCAGGGAGTTGTTCCGAAGAGCATGCGGGGAGCGAACTACAAAAACAACATTGGCGGTAGAAAAATCAACATATTCTAAAAGGTCAAATAAGAATAGTTATTTTCTTGGACTCAAGTAGGTGGACATAATGGATGATTCTTCAGATGATGATAATCAAGAAATGGAATTCCATGAAGTACGATATAATAAAAGAAAAAAAAGGAAATAACATGGGTGATGAGTTTGAATGTGAACAAATGTGTTCAAGTAAAATTAGGGAGACCGGGCAAAGGGTGAGGATAAGGAGGATAAGGACATAAATGTCATGATCACATTTGTCAAACAAGCATAACAGTATATGCATCCTGTTAAATTATCAAAAGTGATAGAAAAAGAAGTAGGATCAGTGAAAGGGGCAACATGTTTGAACAATGGAAGAGTTTTGATCAAGTGTAAGGATGAAAATCAGAGAGCAAAGATACTAAAACTAAAATCACTGGTTGGTGGTAAAATAAGCTGTGCTGAAGTAGGTATGAGGAAGAGTGGGGTGATTTCAGTGCCCTTGAATGTAACTATGGAGGAAGTAAAAGGAAACTTGATTGGAGGCAAAGTTGCTTCGGATATGGAAAGATAATAAAAAATGTTATAGTCTCTCTATGTTGATACACTTTGAAGACAGCAATTTACCAGTAAAGGTGAAGCTAGGTTTCATCAGTTATGTGGTACGGGAATATGTTCCCCCTCCTTTACGTTGTTACAATTGTCAACGCATAGGGCATACCGCTGCTGTTTGCAAAGGGAAAATGCGGTGTGCAAAATGTAGAGAAGAGCATGAGTACGGGAAGTGTCAGGAAGGAACTAAGATGAAATGCTGCAATTGTGGGGGAGAGCACAGCGCTGCATATGCAGGATGTCCAGTGCAACAGCAGGCTCGTGAGATCCAAAAGGTAAAGTCCATCCAGAATTTAACATATGCAGAAGCGGCTCGTAGAGTGAAACAAGTAGCAGAAACAAGAATTCAAAAAGAACAGGTGCAAACTTCTCAGGCGAATGAGTCAATGAAACAGATGAACTTGTTAAAAAATGACTCCGCAGACAGTATTAACATGAGCAAAACTGATTTTGTGGCGTTTGTCTGTGCAGTGGTGAATGGCACCGCACAGGTGGAAAGAAGATCAGACAAAATAAAAATTGTTGTAGAATGTGCAAACAAATTCTTGAATTGCATTGGTATATCAGCAGAGCAAATTCACAAGATATTAAAATCTAAAGAAGGAAAAACAGAAGGAAGCATAACAAGTTATGATGCATCTCAATGTAGTGATACATAACATTATCATGTCTTTCCTATTGCTTCATTGGAATGCCAGAAGCTTGATCGCTAATGGGCAGGAGTTTAAAAAATATGTTGCAGATATGAATAAATCTCCTGATATAATTTGTGTACAAGAAACATGGTTATGCAAGTCATTGGATTTTAAGATGAATAGGTATGAAGTAATAAGGAAAGACAGGAATAATGGTAGAGGTGGAGGATGTGCGACATTCATAAAAGAAAATGTGATATACAGGTATGTAAATAGTGAAAGTAATGCAGAGAGCATATGTATAGAAGTAATGGGTATACAGGGGTAATCAGATTAGTACATTTTTATAATCCTTGTTCAGAATTATCAGTAGGCATTCTGAAAAGTGCCATGGGAGAATCATCAAACAAAATGATTATGTGTGGTGATTTTAATGCACACAATAGTATTTGGGGTAGCAGGAACACAGATAAAAATGGTGACGTAATAGAAGAATTCATGGAAGAAAACTCTTTAGTGTGTCTAAATGATGGCAACCCAACAAGAATAGACATAATAAGAGGTGCAATGTCATGTTTAGATATCACAATAGTTTCAGCATCATTAGCTGGTAAATGCATATGGTCAGCAGCTAAAGATAATATTGGAAGTGATCATTTTGCAGTGATCTGTGAAATTCAAAATAAGATTCAAATACAAAATTGTAATTATGGTTTAAGATGGATATATAAAAAGGCAGATTGGGAAAAGTTTCAAATGTTATGTGAAGAACAATTTGAAAATCTGTCAGTAGAGGGTAGTGTTGATGATAGGTATGGTAAAGTAGTGAATGGCATTTATTTTGCAGTATCACAATCTATCCCGCTAGTAAGTGGTACAAGTAAAAGAAAGAATGTACCTTGGTGGTCAGAGGAATGCTCGAAAGCAATTAGAGAAAGGAATAAATCATTTAAATTTTTAAAAAGAACACTCACCCCAGAAGCAGTCATAGATTATCAAAAGAAAAGAGCTCATGTTAAAAATGTTATTAAAAATACAAAGAAGACAGCATGGCAAAGCATCTGTAATACAATAGGGAGGGAAACCGAAATAAATGCAGTCTGGCGTATGATAAAGAAGATGAATGGAATTGACAGCTTCAGAAAGATACCTGTAATGGAGGAAGGTGGGACAATAGCCATTACAAATAAAGATAAGGTCACAATGTTGGCTCAAACATTTGCTAAAGCTCATAGCATTAAAAACTTAGATGATACAAGACGACAGCAAATTATGAGTATATATGGAAATACTTGCAAGAAAAAGCAAGATTTGAATAGTATTTTGGATGATGAGTTTAATTATTCTGAATTAAAATCAGCTATTAATAATTCAAAGAATACAACAAAGATATGATAAGTTATAAAATATTAAAGAATCTACCAGCTAAAGCATTAGAAGCATTATTGGAATTGTATAATTATATATGGAATGAGGGTATCCTTCCTAAGCAATGGAAGACTGCAATTGTGCTTCCTCTAGCTAAGCCTGGGAAAGACATAACAAAACCTAGTAGAGACCCATCGCTCTTACCTCTACGCTATGTAAAGTCATGGAAAAAATTATTGTGAGGCGATTGAATTACATTTTGGAGAAAAGGGAAATGCTATCAACTTTTCAACGTGGATTTAGGAAAAGTAGATCTACAGTGCATATAAGTAAAATTTAATCAAAATGTAGAATGATCATAAATTGCGTG